CGTAAGACTATCCTCATATACACACAGATGATTGGTCGCTACGCTGTGTCACTCTTGGTCGCCACCAGGCGGGGGCGAGGCACCATGCTCGGCAGCTAGACACTTGCTGCACACACACTTGCTGCACACACACACAAGCACACACACACACACACACACACACAAATTACACACTGCATCTCCAACACTCCCACTTCGTGTGTGTGTATGTATGTGTGTGTGTATGTGTGTGTATGACCTGGGTTGCTCAAAGCTGCCGTCGGGTGCCTTGCGCTTGCCACCTGAGCGGTCGCCACCTGCCGCACCGCCAGCCGCCGAACCTGACACACGGACACGTCATGAATGCACACCTCCTTCTCTCTGTCAATGACTCACCGCTTCGTTGGCCCGCACGTCGACCACCGCCGCTGCCCCACACCTGTGTGCCCAGCTCCTCGCCGAGCACGCGCTTGACGGCCACGGCGGTCTTGGCCCAGGGCCGGCGCGCCTCGCTCGTGAAGACCTTGACCGTCGCCCTGTGAAACTCGCCCTTCTCGCACCCAAGCAGGATGGCCACGAAGTCGCCCTCGTCAGCCCAGTCCAGGTGCTTGCTCGTCAGCACGATCAGGCGATGGCAGCAGTCAAGGTAGCACTCCGTCGCGAGGTCCTCTCGGTCGTACACGGCCCCCTCGGTCTCCTCGGCCTTGGCGTCTGTCAGCTCCTTGACGCGCTTGTAGAGAGGGTTCTCGTCGTCCTCGAGCACACCAGTGGCCCATTCTTTGACGAGTGTGTGGCGCTTAGTCTCCTCGACCCAGCCGAGCAGCATGAAGCAGGCCATGCCCGAGTAGGAGGTGAAAGTGATCCAGGATAGGCCTCGGCCTTGGGGGTCGTTGTCGGGACCGTCACGCTCGGGTCCACGTCGCCGCTTTTGACGATGATCTCCTGGTAGCCGCTGATGAAGGTCCTCACAGTCCTCCCCGCCTCGAACCAAAAACCGGTGACAACGGCGTACCAGGAGAAAGCCTCCCCCGTGCCGCTGGCCTCCTCATACGCCGGGTGGAGGATCTTGTCACCGTCCATGATGGGCTTCTGCTGGCCCTCGTGGGTGGTGATGGTGACGCCCTGGCTGATGCGCCGCCACTGATCTGCAGCGCCCTTGAGGCCGTCGAGGGCAGGAAGCGGCATGAGGTTGCCGCAGAGCACCTTCACCAGTGCCTGGTGCGGGTGCCACACAATGGCGGGGGCGCCGTTGGACGAAGCACTGGCGGCGTGCGCAGACGACGACATGGTCACCAACAGCAGCTCCTCTGAGAGCGAGTGGCAATGTGAGTGGTGGGATGAGTCGACAGGGCTCACGATAACGGTCGCTGAGAGAGCTCCCAGCCGATTGCCAAGATCCAGGCTCCTGGCTCAATTCAGGGAGCACTGCGATTTGTGAGCTTCGCGAGCTTGAAGAGGAAACGCCGTTCCTCCAGTTAGAGCGGAGACCGAGTTACACGGGCGAGATCTACGAGACATGAATTGCGATGGATGTGGACCCAAGCTTGCGTGTCCATGAGACCTCCGTCGTCACTGAATGCTTCTTTCGGCTTCGTCACATTCCTACTCGCTACCCC